ATGGAAGATATGCAGAGCACTTTTATTCTTTTTGGAACAAATCGATAGCTCTGAAATTGAAAACGTTAGAATCATCTAGGTAGAAGTCAAGGTAAAGTCGTCTCTTTTTTAAAACGCTGATGTAACTGATGTAAGGGCTATTTACGACACCGACATACCATATGTAAAATAACTCCTTTGTGGGAGGATGTATCCGTGTCTCAACGAACTTCGAAATAGCTGACTTTAAGGAAGTTAGAGGATAAGTTTCTATAGAAACTGTGGCGCTGCGTCGGAGGGGGAGTATAACAAGATAATTTTGGTTTTATAAACTGAGTTGGTAATATGAATTGGCTACTGTAGAGAGTTTCAAAGCAAACGCAAAAAGCTAACACTCAAAACGTCGGCTATGAAACTCTTTCCAATGACCAATTTACATTGACACTCAGTTGATAAAACCAAAAGCATTTCGTTGTACATCCCCACCTACACAGAACCACAGTTTCATTAGAGACTTACTCTCTTATTATATCTTAATGTCGAGTTCAGAGCCGCTCTCTTTCTTCTCAAAATTATTTATTCTTGATAAGCTCAAAAATATAGTGTAACGACGAGGATGGGATTCGAACCCACGCGTGCAGAGCACATTGGATTAGCAGTCCAACGCCTTAACCACTCGGCCACCTCGTCTGTTTTTATAAAATTGCTCTGCATTAGAGATGCCATTTTTGAGCTGTTACAGTTTGGGGTTTTGGCATTGGTATTAGGAAACCAGTAGACCATGATTTCTTGATTCCCTCTCGGTGAAAGTTATTCTTGTTTGTGCATCGCCATAAGAGCTAAAGTAGAACCAAAAGCGATGGGTGTTTTTGACACACCGAAACAACCAGTGTTTATTGTATAGAGTTTCGACGGCTCATTTACCTCATAAAAGGCAGATTACCATGTTTTCAAATTAAAAAGATTAAAAATTTTCAATTATCTTAATTATCCTCGTAGACCAGCGAGTTGCATAATCCCTTTCATTTGAGAAGATTTGAGTCACAAAATTTAAGGTTGATTGGGCAGAAAAAAATTCAAAATTGCCAGAATAACCAAAATAGATAAGAGGACAGACGTGGAGTAGACTGAAAAAAGGATTGTAGATGTTAAAATTCAAATTTCTAGCCGCAAGTTTTCAAAGTGCACGAGCAAAAAACGGGACTCAGCCGGAAGAATTGACTGGGAAATTATATATGCGCTTTAAAACGTAAAGAGACGCACCTATGAGCTTTGGTGTGCTGTTTGAAATTAAGTTATACCTTAAAATAGAATTTATCGACAGATGAGCTTTATTTTCGATAAATGATTTTGCATCATACATAATCACGTAAATAATTGATGTATATCCATGCAATATTTGTTTATCTCAAATGGAAAGAAAAAACCATTGAATTGAATTTAGCGAGTTTTACCGGTTGGAAAGCTTTGCAGCTACCACGAATCCACGGAAAATTTAAGAAATTAAGTTCGAGAAGCTGTTTCCAACAGTGTTTTTCTTTAGATATCTTATAATTTTTCAATTCGAGCTGAGTAGTTTCGAGGGCGTGTCTGCGACCTGTTGTTTATCAGTTCTACGGCTAATGGAAAATTTCGAAGTAAAACGTAGTTGATGATAATGAGATATCTCCATCATGTCATCCTGTCTAAGTTTATCGCTTTGAAGTAGCTTCTCATTCTTGAGAGCCAAGTTGAAAACTGCGAAACGTTGTCATCAGCAGGTTGAAGAGGAGGTATCGTTTATTAGTTTCTGCGACATTAGTAAATAGTCCTTTTCGCGTGCGCTGATTGGCTAACCCGAGGTGATTAGCGGAATGCTGTTTACCTCCTAGCAGCCGGAGAGAAAGAAAGTGGGTTCTTGTTACGCTTCGGTCTCCGCTGGGAAATTTTTTCAATATATGAAAAGTCCATACCCAACAATGCCAAAACCCCATACTGTAACATAGACGAGGTGGCCGAGTGGTTAAGGCGTTGGACTGCTAATCCAATGTGCTCTGCACGCGTGGGTTCGAATCCCATCCTCGTCGTTACACTATATTTTTGAGCTTATCAAGAATAAATAATTTTGAGAAGAAAGAGAGCGGCTCTGAACTCGACATTAAGATATAATAAGAGAGTAAGTCACTAAAGAAACTATGGTTCTGTGTAGGTGGGGATGTACAACGAAATGCTTTTGGTTTTATCAACTGAGTGTCAATGTAAATTGGTCATTGGAAAGAGTTTCATAGCCGACGTTTTGAGTGTTAGCTTTTTGCGTTTGCTTTGAAACTCTCTACAGTGGCCAATTCATATTACCAACTCAGTTTATAAAACCAAAATTATCTTGTTATACTCCCCCTCCGACGCAGCGCCACAGTTTCTATAGAAACTTATCCTCTAACTTCCTTAAAGTCAGCTATTTCGAAGTTCGTTGAGACACGGATACATCCTCCCACAAAGGAGTTATTTTACATAGGGTATGTCGGTGTCGTAAATAGCCCTAGTTACATCAGCGTTTTAAAAAAGAGACGACTTTACCTTGACTTCTACTTAGATGATTCTAACGTTTTCAATTTCAGAGCTATCGATTTGTTCCAAAAAGAATAAAAGTGCTCTGCATATCTTCCATTTCTTGACAGGAATTAGGCAAAAAAAGGAAGTTGTTAAATTTTTAAATCTTGATTACGACAAGCGCAATTATTAGATTTGTCACCTGCACTGCAACCTGCATGAAACAGTAAAAAAATTATTTACGCTGATTTTCGATTCTCATTCGGTTTTGAATTGTTTCCGAGCTAAATTCAATTTCTCACAATAAGATACTTGCAAACGTTAAAAGAAATTGTTATGCTTTTACTGTTTCGGGCCGTGGCGTAGTTCAGCAAATCTAAAAATAGCGCTCGTCGTAATTAAGATTTAGAAAACAAACAACTTCCTCTGTGCTTAATTCCTGCCAAAAATGGAAGATATGCAAAGCGTTACATTTTGTCCATTTCGACATCTCACCGTCAAAAAGCGTGCTTACGTCAAAGCGATCGATGCTATTTGGGTGATATCCACCTCCCTGGAAATAATTCAAACTTTTGCGATGCAAAGAAATCTGTTTTCTATCAGTGTAATCGTGTATTTATCTTATTTTTCAAGTGTCATTATAATTATTTCAGTCTCGTATTTTTCGATATGTATAAAAGTCCGACGTAATCGGCATCTTCAACACGAGTCTATGGCCATCAGAAACAGAGAAAAGAGACTCACAACTTCCTTAATCATTGTTACATTTGTATCTCTACTGACTTTGTCACCAGTTTTCATTTAAGTAACTATACAGATCTTCTTCAGTGTACCTGACTTAAGTCTTTCCAAAGCATCAGGCATTCGGTTTTTTCTCGCAGGAGTTCTATCCTTGGGCTTAAACTCCTCAATAAATCAATTAATTTACTCCATGACGAATTCAAAATTCCGAACAGGCCTTGCAAGGATATGCTGTAGGCGTCACTGACGCCGGCATCCAATCCATGCCATTCCTGCATAAGTGACCCGGAAAATTTTCCTCCTTAAGAGTTTTCCCAGCCATGATCTTCTTCGGCAGTTATCGAAGTTTTACAAGCAGCCAATTTGGTTGCAGAAGCTACTGAAACGCGAGTTTATGAGTAGTAAATGGATTATCTGATTCGTGATGTGCTAGTAGTCAATTGCAACAAATGTAACGCGTTTAGTTAACCGTTTCGAAAATGATAAAAATAAAGAGCTGTGATTATTAGGAGGGTTGTAGATCTTTCGACTGGCTAATAAAATTTGGTTGAGTGGATGGAGAGGGAAGGGGGATTATGACAATGATCGTATAATAATGATCATTAACTCACGGCCTTAATGCAGCTGTGAGTAGTTCTTTGGTGCCCTGGTTTGGCAAGATTTCCAAACTTTTCTTAAATTAGGACCATTACAGGGACTCAAAATTCTTCTCAATTATCCTGGCAGCATTCGTTTAATACCGTTGTAGACAATCGAACTAAATTGATCGCGATTGCACGCAATCCATGGATTCGGCTCGATCATTGGGCTGAGTTCAAATGAGTTTGTTCGGCAGTCAAACAAAATGGAACGACACTTTAATTTTCTTTGAGTGCAGTTACCAAATCAACCGTGGCTTGTTAGGTCGGTTGCTAAGGAAACAGTTTAATCCGACAACGGTGCCAATCGATCATCGCGAGTCATGAAATAATAGCATTTACAGGCCATAGCAACTGGACGAGTTTGCTTTGAAGTTGACTTTTACAGCCTCGTTTCTTAACAACTCTAAAAACAACCCCCTCCTTCCCATTTTTATCAGAGAAATGCACTGATCGTCCATTTCCTCATGAAAATCGCATTTTATGAAAATATCTCACCACGCATATGACGCATACAAATGTAAAAATAGTTGAGAGAAAAAGGATAAAGAAGAATTCATGCCAATTAGAACCGTCAAGCAGCATCTGCACCTCAATGTGACCCCAATGACATTTCTCAGAACATTAGCTACATGAAACAGTCAAGAATCGCACGTTCAAATGCGCCCGATTGTCTGCTTAGAACTAAGTTTTTTAGTTATCATGTTCATTCAATCGAATTCAATAACACTAGATTTAGATCAATTTATAATCGTGTCGATTTTGCTGTCGATAACCTTTGCAAGGCTGAGATTTGTCAAAAGAACTCGTCCCACGTGTTTAAAATAATCGCGGGATTGGATTTCCTGAATGAACCCGACTTCATTGGATAAACAGATTAACTGAAATCCAGGCGATGATCAGTCAAACAGATCGATTAGGATTGTCATTGCTCCGGATAGGTCAATTATGCTGGGAATTCAAGCGTTGGGGTTTGTACTTTGATCTAATGACTTGGTTGTTTAGTAACCAGTCAATTATGATTATGAGAAGCGATAATTACACAGTTCTTTCCTTTTTCGTTTTTCTTTTCGCTCTATGATCAAACTGCGGTAAACCTTGTATGTAAATTGTGAGGAAATAATATTTGTAGAGAGACCGGAAGTGAGAATCGCTTGCTATGCATTCTAACCGAATATGAGCGGGCCAAGCTGGCTTTGACGCAGAGGAAGTCGGACACAACAATAGGAAACGTGACACCGTTCCGGCCAGTGGTTCCCCGAAGAAATACACTATCAAAAAAGACGCTTCACAATATTTGTCATTCACATCTTTACATACATCATAAACAATCTCCAGTAAACACAAAGGGGTTGCACAGCAAGTGCTTTGGATGAAAGGTGAGTTATTTCCATTCGAAATTGTCAACTTATCATTCAAGTCCTCTTTTAAATATGACGAGGAATCGATTGCGGAAAGAACCGCTTGTATTAAAGGGTCAGTCTCGACTCTTACAACGCAGAGCTGATGAAAAGCATTTTAAAAACATTCGTTACCTCAGTAATCATTAGAAAGGAAATGTTGTCCTTTTTCAGTGGGGCAGAGAAATCCCTTATTCGATGTAAAGGTGAATCGCAGTAGTTTATCGTCTCGAATGATTGCTCGATAGACAGTGCGATACATTTCGTCGACTAAACGCCGCCTCAGCGAAAAAGTTGGAATTCGTATCATTTCGTCAGCAGAAAATGTCTTTTAAATCGCTTCAAACTTTGAAAATTAAGAGAAAATTTAGGTAATTTATTTCTGAGATGTCTGCCAAATAGTGAAATTTCTCCTGCTTTGCGAAGTCGCCATCACCCTTGCGGGGCGGAAGATAGAGCATCTTCGAATCGCTCCTAGAGGAAGACGGTTAAGTACCTTTAACAATCATCATTACGTTAGAAGTGTATGGTAATTGAAACAAAAACTTTTAAAATTTTGAAAAACAAGGGGTATTTTATTGCAGACAAGGAATGCTAGAAGATTTTCATTTAAGCTGGTTTGCTTGATTTGCCTATCAAGTGTCATGTTTTGTAGAGACTGACAGATAAATGATTACAGATGCACACTGATGTTAAAATGTCAAGTGACGTCGTGTCATATTCCGTCGCACGGCATTGTCAACAACAAGGAATGTTCCAAAATATTTGCTCACATACACAAGTAGCAACATAGTATATATATTTAACTTCGCTTTGCATTTTGAAGAGTATATTAGTCATACTTTGCTGTCACGACTCAGTTTGTTCAATAACTAAACAAGCAAGGATCGTTTAATGTTAACCGAGTATTATTTAAGAGTCCGTCTATTTTGGAACATAGCGTTTCTTACGCAAACTTTCTACAAGTAATAAATTGTATGGTTAAGAAGGATAAATTTATGTTATGTTTGTGAGGAAAATTGCAGCCAGGTTCGACTCATTTTTTGCGTTGGTTAAATTTCCAGTAGGAAATCAGTGAGCTCGACCACTGTAATGAATTCGAACAAGGTGCGACATCTTAAATTTTATTCCGTTTAGCAGGAGTGTTCATATGGGAAGTTCTTTGTCTGCTTATCAAAATTACTCTAGTAATAAACGAACGAGGCACTGACCCCGCTGATATAAAGGGGCTCGTCTCAATAGGCCTCAAGAAGACAATCGATAAGACTGATGACAATAATTTATCCTTTAAAATGAGTACTGCGGGAATGGCCTACGTGACAAAATTTTCTTCTGGCTCTCTAGTTTTTATTCTTGTAGGCGCTTGGATGTGTTGTATAAATCTCTTCTTCCTTGGGAACAGTTTTTGGTATCTGACAAGGCTAAATTTCAGGGCATCTGTCCTTTTTGATTAAGAATTTCAAGTACATGCTATTTGTTGTTAAGAACGTATCATGCAAAGCAGATATGAATGATATCCTCCAACTTGAAGTGTTATCGAATTAAAGTTATCATTTGCAAGTAGATGACAGACAATAAACTTTTTAAAATACTGGTATGGCTGAAAAAAGTTAGATTCATAAACGTGGCTCATATCAATCGCTTATTTTATTATCCTTCTGCATATATCATTGTATTAGCGTTACCTGGTAACTCCGCTGTCACAAAAATATATCGTGACGAATGTGCGAAGTCAGTGGAATTATTCTCAAATGAATGTTTGCTTTTCATTCCAGTGTATCCTGAGAAATAATGATGTTAGTGAAGATTATGTTGTGATTGTATTCTCTCACGTACAGCACTTGGAGTAGGAAACACTTGCGAATTAGAGGCTGAAATATCCAAACTTCTAAAGGTAAATAATATGCTTTTTCCAGATGCTTTAAGAACCTTTAAAAAACATCAAAGCGAGGAAAGGTTGAAACCATTTACTATAGACACTCAAATAAGCCACCGCTTCCTCTGTCTAAAAAGCCCCTTCCTCAGGTTTTTTTTTTATAAGCCTTCCTCCTCTTCCTCTCCGAAAACAAAAACTACAATTATTATATTTTCGTTTTTCCTTTTTGGGCTATTCAGCAGTTCAGTATCTGTGCTGAAAGGTTTCCATTCGTTTCCGCTTTAGATATCGTAGATATTCAACTAAAGACATCTGACACCTTCCTCCCCTCCCCACCCACCTGCAGGAAGACCCTTTATCGCATGTGAGAGTGAAATCATATCGCAAGAATGCGAATCAGGAGTGATGTTCATTTATAGGACTAAGCACCTTAGATCTCTTAAACGCTATAATAACGAGTCTCAAATATACAAAACACAACTCAACAACATTCCGATAGTTATGAAACAACGGACCTAAAAGACGCTTAAACAGTCGACTTTATCGCCTTATGGAGATTGCATCAAGACATTCTTACCAACGCCATCAACGGTTGATAGACTTTCTACAACTTGAGACTAACGATTACGTATACGTTCATTCATTTTGTTTAACGTTTTCATATCCATTGGGAGAGATTTCTCTTCCCCACATCAATTTTTTCAGTCTCTTTTAACACATAGCTTATTTTCTGAATTTGAAATATTTGCAGTTCCTTAATGGCTGAAGACCATAATGACAGTTCATTTAACCACAGCTTCGAATCGAGGAATTCCTCCGTGTGTGGCTCTTCAGACTGTATCCCGTGGCTTGCTGTGAGCATCACTGAATGTCTGGCCATAGTCATCTTTAATCTCCTCACCATTATTGTATTTGTGAAGCAGCGCCAGCTACAGCGCAGAAGCACTTACCTGATCATCCACTTAGCGGTAGTCGATCTCTTGGTCGGAGCAGTCTCAGGACCTGTGATTATTGCTTACCTATTTAAGTTTTACCTGGACTCACAAAAGAAGCATTCAGTAATATTTCCAATATTTAGTGATTTATTCCCCACAACTTCAATTGCAAATCTTGCTGTCATTGCTTTAGAAAGACGACATGCCACATTTTATCCCTTTAAGTATCGAGAAGTTAAGAAGTGGATTTATGGGATCATAATTGTTGCCATTTGGTTCGTACCTTTGTGTAGAGAGATCGCTCAGGATGTTTTATACTATCGAGAAGGGAATTCGGATCTTTCGATATTGTTTTCAAGATTTAGTTATGTATTATATTCGTCAGTTTTTCTTAGTATTATCTGCATTTCTTACATTGCAATTTTTATAAAAATCCGATGCAGTCCTAATCCTCATCCTCACAATCTTGGTCCAACTAAAAGAGAAAGAAGACTAACAACCACCCTTCTTTTCGTGACGCTTGCGTCTTTGCTGACTTGGCTGCCGTCTACCTTTTTCAGAATCGCCATATTTTGGGGTCACAGAATGATGTCTTCTCAGTCCTTTTTTTATATTTATGTGACAGTGGCAGCGTTGATTGGTGCCAGTTCCTTGGCAAATCCAATTGTATATGCCGTAAGGATGCCGGAATTTAGAGAAGGTTTGGTAAAATTATTCCGCAAAGCCCCGAATCATGCATATGAGGCTGATTCACCACTAAGGACTAGGCAGTCCTCCTTACCCTAAACAGTATTCCTGAGCCAAAAATTTAACTTGTCGCAAGAATCATTTCCTGAAATATCTTGCATATATATGCGGTGTTCTTACTTTTTCCTTGATACAATGATAGTAATTTTTTTTGCAAATTTAGTCTTAATCACCATGGCATGGGTGCCTTTTGAGTATCACTTTTTTGCATGATCTACATGCAGTTTCTATATCATTGCGATGTAATATTTCAATAAATGGCTTGAGCCAAGGGGTAACGTGATTCTGTTAAGAGTCGGATGATAACTTCCACTTAGGACGTCAGTCACATATTCGAATTAGAATAACCGACGACATTCCTTCTACCTTCAAGCAGACGGTTAGATAACACGGTCATATTAAGCTGTTAATAAGGATTCTTTTTGTAAATATTATTTAGCAAATATTATTTGTATTATTAGTTCTCTAGGAAGGAAAGAAGAAATAAGTGAGCTGTAATTAAGCTATGTAATGTTATTATTGTGATGCGTGTCTCGTTAGTTGAGTAGGCATCGTGAGACCTTTTAATGTAACATTTGATAAAATATATAAAGTGTTGACAGAATTTTGCGCGTTGGAAATTGCTCTTCGCATCTTCCTTACCTTATCATAAGCAAAGAGCCTTAGGTCGTCATTGAAAGCAGTGACTAATGTGTGGTCTTGCATTTCAATAAGAAAACTTAGTTTTTTGCGCCTCATCCCAAGGTCATCTGGTCATGACCAGCTTTTTCTTACTTCCGAGTACTTTTAAAAACAATGCGATGGAGAAGGAAAATATTGCTTCTCACTAAAGTTCAGCTATGCGCTTGGAAAAAAAAAACTTTACTACTTTTTTTCTCAGACCTCAATAAAGTAAATGTTTCCTCTAAAGAATTTCATTTCTTTTCATTTTCGAATTAGTTTTCGTCGACCAAAAAGCATTTTAATTTATACTATCTGTTTTCATTTGAAAAGAGGTTTCAGATTGGCCTTCCTGTTTTCGAATGACGAAAACAACTTCCGTCCAAGAAGTTATTTACAAATGAATTAAGGAAAATTGACCTTCTGTATTCTCTCAAATAGGCGCGGGGGGGAGAGAGGGGGGGGGGGACCGCTTATTTGAGAGGGGCACTTGTTTGGGGGGGGGGACAATATATTAAGGCTTGGATCAGGAGCTTGCCCCCTCAATCGTACCTGCCCCAAATAATTGGACTGTAGAAATTTTCAGCAAACACATCTAAAATGAACAAAGAAAACGAAGGCTGGTAATGATAATATCACAAGAATTGTATGATTATAATACTTTTATTACTACTTATACCGTGTTTATTCGATCAAAGGCCGCCCTCGAATAAACGCCACATCATTATGCGGCATTTATTCGAATAATAGAGCCAAAAAGCACTCAGCGATCATTGCTTCGATCGGAATTTGAAATTTTGAGTGAACCAGACACAGATCTTTTTTAATGTACCAGTTTTAATGTCCAGAAAGCACATCCGACATTAGATCTTTATTCAATTTGTGTATTGCAGTAGTAATAAAATGGATATTTTGAAATTGAGAACAATATAAAAAATCAATTTTTAGACAAGCACTACACATGTAGTAGTGTTCTTAGCTGCGAGGATCTCCTAATTTCATCTTTCCACCGCAGTGCAAATATGTGAATTTTCATATATCTAAAATCTTCATTCACTTGGATGTTTATTTGGACCCAATTCATTAACCAGCTCCCAGTTGGCTTGTTAGCTCAATTGGTAGAGCGCTGCACCGGTATCGCAGAGGTCATGGGTTCAAATCCCGTACGGGCCTGAATTTTTTTCAGGTCCTATTTACAACTACTCGTTTCAGTAGTGTTCTTAGCTGCGAGGATCTCCTAATTTCATCACTACACATGTTTTTGTTTTTTACAATTAAAATTGTCATTTACCATACTAATGGGAAAAAATGTTTTTCGTCTTGTCACGCGCGTGGGACAAAGAAAAATTCTGAGTCTCTATGAGGATTGTAAATTGGATTTTAGATAAACGCCGCCCTCGATTAAACGCCACACTCGACTCACGAAAAATTTAATAAGCGCATAATATTAATGATTTGATAAAATAAGGTTCTCAAGAGGTATCCTTAAGAAGGGGGCTCTCCATTTATCCAAAAAAGTTCCGAATACAATTTCAAGTATTAGAAAAAAAACTTAAGCTGATAATTTTAATCTGATTTGGGGATAAACAGTAGCATGGAGAGAGCATTTTGTCCTAAGAATACCTAAAGTAAAAGTTAAATAGCTGATGGATACTCCCGCCAAGTTTTAATCGCCGCGTCTGTTAACTTATTTATTGGCGAGGTGATCTCCCCTGTTTTATTTGACAAGTGTTATTGATAACTTTTCGTGCAGCCGTTCACCATTTGAAAGCTATCGAAAACTCGAAAGACTCATAAACCAAAAGTGTACAACTCTACATCTAATTTAAACAATGAGGCTGCATCAAATTTTCCATTGCTAAAATCTTCGCCAGATTAAAGAACTTCTCCAACTTCCTGGGAGAACTGTCATTATCAAGTAGTCCTAAATGCCAAATAACATTGTCAAGGGAAAAAAAACATTAAGCATCTTGTATTTGCATAAATTGACCAGCACTCTAGTCGAGGAAAATGTCAACAACATTACGTTTGTGGGACTGAGAGTTTTCAGTGGCTCAGATCAGTGGTGAAGCAGAACTCCCTGGAGATATCTGATGATTATTTGGAATTGTCCGTGGGTTAAGCCTCTTTTTGTCGTTCAAAGCTTTACATGTTAACTATCAAGTGAGACTCTGCAGGTGGACTATTATCTCAAATAGGTAATCTTCCTCTTTCCAAAACAAACGACACATCTATAATTTGATACCTAATGAAATTAATCAAAATGGCCAATAGTGTCTTGTTAAAACTGTAAACTAATATTATAATCCATTTGCTGTTTTCAGCGGGTCGGGTTTTGTTACACGATTAGAGATGAGATTTACCTTTACAAAATGACCCCTCAAGATGGAAATAAATTCTGGTAGATCAAGCCATATAGACGCAGTTTAACTGACTCATACAAGATAAGAGTATTGTGATGTGAGGTAAGACAGAATAGAGTAATAATATCTTTGTACCTATTTTTATCGAAATTATTTTATTTTGCTTTTAAAGCATATACCAGTATTGCATGATAATCAAGCTTAATTAATTGACATCGACTTAAAAAATGTTTTGAGAGTCCTCAATCAGAGAGCCCTTACAAATGTAATACAGGGTCTACAATTTTGAGAAGTTAAAAATTCAGACATTCAGCTGTCGAGAACACTTCACAATGAAATGAAAAGGACTAGAAAAAAAAAAAACAAGCTGCACTCAGGTTGTATCTTCTTCAACCAGAATATATAAAGCGAGATTTGAAAGCAATTCTAATCAATGAAGTAGCAGTCATTTTTTTATTCTTTGTGTATGTGTATTTTCTATCTTTCGGAAAAATATGAACTAAAGTGACAGGAAAAAATAAAAAATACATAAATGTGCAGATCCTTATCGCGACCGGTGACTCTATTTCCATGTCAAATTATTTCAGGATTTTAAAATTCACAGTCACAATTCACGATGGCTGGCGACACAATTACCAAAACTTCAAACATCAGCTTTGGGAGCACGGCATACCCAATCCTTCCGGCATCAAACTGCATCCAATGGGTTATTATAGGAATCATTGAATGCCTGGCTATTGTCATCCTCAACTTGATCACTGTCGTCCTATTTGTAAAACAGCACCAGCTACAGCGCCGGAGTAGATACTTGATTATCCACTTGGCGATAATCGATCTCTTAGTTGGAGGAGCCTCTGGTCCTCTTTTCATCATAAATGGAATGTCCAACCCTTGTTTCCACTGGGAGTTGTCTGAAGCTTTCATTTTTATTGTGTCTATATTCCCAGTGGCCTCCCTTGTCAATCTCGCCGCTATTTCTCTTGATCGATTTTATGCAACATTTTTTCCATTCAAGCATCGATCAATCAAGAAATGGGTCAATGGAGCTTTCATCGCTGCTATTTGGCTGATAGCTTCATTGGGGGAAACATTCCAACTGGTTTTGATTTTATATCTGAAAGTAGATAGACGCATTCGAGGAATTGTAACCTGCACATTTAATGCATTTTTTCTTTTTGTTATTTGTGTTTCGTATACAGCAGTCTTAATCAAAGTCCGACTCAGCCCCAGTCGTCACCACCGAGGTGCAACAAACAGAGAACGGAAACTGACCACAACCTTAATCTGGGTCACATTTGCATCTTTATTGTCTTGGTTACCATTTAATGTTTTCGCGATATTGTCGAGTTTTAATAAAGCAATTTCAACCTGGCTTTGGGCAGACAACGCAGCTGTGACACTTGTCGGTGCTAATTCTTTAGCAAATCCAATTGTTTACGCCATAAGGATGCCAGAATTCAGAGCTGGTGTTAGAAACATATTATGTAAGGTGCCTAACCGTACACGCCCCGTAGCTTTACCACTTTAGTATCTCCAATGTGTATATTAAATTCTATTAAGTACTGGTAACTACTTAAAAATTATTCACCGAATATGCTGCTCGATAATGTCCAGTGACCTCAACTTTTGTTTATAGTAATGTTTTGGTCATAAGATTGTTACCAAAATAAGGTGATTTCTGCGTCAAGTCTCGCGATTTGTTTTGTAAAAGTATACCTTTGATAACCCTTTGAAAGATATTGCAATTTAGTTTGTCCCACGCCCCTAAATCAGGGGTTTGGCCGAAGAACGGATATCTTGCATTTGTTCAAAAACTTGTCTCCGTCGAGTTTATCTCTTTTTCGTTTCAATTTGTGTAATAAGTAACCAGTGTGCCAATGTGGATAAGCTTGTTTATGATAATACATGAGGCAAGAGCAAGCAACATCTAACAATAATCAACTCAATCAGAGGTTGCTGTTCTTGAATGCAAAGAAATGACTTTGAAATTCGAATTGGAAATTTTATGATTTTTTTATATTGCAAAACATAATAAAGAATGTCTATGGCAAATAATAATCTTAGTTCTTCATTAGGGCAGTTACTTCTCTACTCTCTTCCGCAAACTGATAATTTCAAACTGAAAAAGATTCGTTAAAAAGAGCTCGAACTTGAGAACGAGATGGATCATTACTAACAATCAGCTTAAAAGTAAAAACGTGCTCGACCTGCCATCCATGCAACATCGTTGAACAAGAATGGCTCTCCCGTTATTGCCTTCAAGTCCTTCAAGTGGTCTCGAAGATTCTTTTAGCAGTACTGAAATGGCTGTCAGCGCTCCGCTCTGAAGGTGTTACTATCGTCATCTATATTAATCTAGAGCTTTCACTGAAATTGTTTACGACAAATATTGGCTGAGTTCGGGAACTTGACACTCATTGAGCATTGTAAGCCTCATTATTATCCAACTGCACAAAGTAGAGCACAAATAACGCGCGAATAGCCTACAAATATCCTGCGATATTGTATGGTTATTTGGAAAGTTGGTTATTTTGTCGCTATGCCATTGTGGAGCTCTCAGTTTTTAGGGAATAGAAGTTAGGAGTAAATAGTTCATGATCAAACTCTGCTCTCGCTAACTGTAAAATGAACTGGCAATTCTTCATACCCTTCCCCATTTTGGCATAAAATTGTTTAGAAACAAAACCTTCAAATCTACGTTGGCGGGAATACTTATAGGAACAAATTATAAATAATTCTAAAGCCTCCAAACCTTGGCAATTTAATTCCTTAAAAATGGATCACACTAAGATGAGATATATTTTGGCGTAATTTATATCTCCTATAGGATGGCGATGATGTTCAATCGAGTAAGCGTTATTTGCTTCTTCTTAAAAATAGATACAAGGTCATACAACTGTACCTCTCCCTATCGCGTGTAGCTTCCTTTCTTTATCAAAACTAACCTTCTAGTTTATGGGCTATTTTCGGATGGTAAGGGTTATCACTATCAGGCTTTTCTAGAAATCTGCCCTTTGATGAAAAAGTATTATTATCTGGGAGATATATAGGCAACTTTTATTGCTGTTAGGGTTTCATTTTCGGCCCTTAGGTGTTTAGAGTCCTTTAGATTTCAGCTGTTAACTGGAACTCTCTTATCATTTGCGCCAGTCTCACAGAGCAAAACCGAAAGTGTTTCCCTCGGATGACAAATGATTTACTTTTAAACTTATTAAACTTTCGATGTTTGTTCGAAATCGTGGAAAATCGTTTCCCAAGAAAAAGAAACAAAGAAAACAAAGAAGACAAACACATGAAGAAAAAGCGAGAGGAAGCAAAAGAACATTAGAAAAGCAAAACAGAAAAAAATAAATGGCAAAGAAAAAAGAACCTGCATGTGACATGTTACAAGTTAGGCAAATCAGGTTTACCATTAGCGTTGGTAAGAAATGAAAACTTATAACTTCAGTTCAACTGCTGTTTTCAGCTGGTTAGCTTTTGTCACAATCTCGACATGTTACCTTGAAAATCAACTGTTGGAGACCGAATAAATGAAACTTCTGGCAAATGAAGCTATCCATCTACAGCTACTTCGCAGCAAATCATAAAACAATAAATAATAAGTATTAAAAGTTCTGGACTTTGTTCTGAAAAAAGATAAAAGCATAAATTAATTTATTATGAACACACATCAGTGTTGGCATACATCGGGCGTACCCTTGACAAAGCCAAGCAAAAACCCAATTAGGCAAAACGTGTTGTCATGAACATTCTTTCCTCATTTTCATGAAACCAAAACACTGGGTTGTCTCGTTTCTGCATTAGATGGCCAGAACCCTAACCGAGAAAAATTCTGACAAAAAACATTTATCAGTCGGGCGCGGGACAAAGAAAACAAAATCTCATTCGCATGAGTAATCGAAGCACAGCCTTCGCGCTTCTATAATGGCCTAATTCACCATGGAGTTCTCCGAGGCTAACACTCGATTTTGAGCATCAGAGCGAGGTATCCGAAGTTCTGGGATGAGCATATATCTTGATCTAAGGACCAAGCGCAAAATTTGATAACTTACCTGCCCGCTCTAATTGCAAAATACTTCTCGTTCGAACTCCCCTGGGGTAACCGATGCGAGTTTGGAATTGGCAACAAATAGAGGTTGCCTCGGAGATCTTCACAGACTAATTTTCATATTCTGCTGAGAAAGGGATACTACCTCCTGTTTGAATGTTGAAGTGATGCATAGAGAGTACTTGGTTACACACTGCGTTATGTTTATTAACAATGGATGGAGTTTCACGTGAACTAATTGCATTGTAACCACTGTTGTAGTAAAGTGCTTTCTGGCCGATTGATTTAGTAAAGTACCAGTTTCCTTCCTGAGGAAATGGCTGGCTAAATATTGTTTCTGTCTAATGTTGCCCACGAGAGAATATATTCCCTTGATCACATTGATTTTATTGACATTTGCTGACAATTGAATTATGCATTACAGAACGATTCGCTTTCTGTTAAAATTGAATTGCAACAGCATTACTTTCTTTGAATCACCAAAATAAGTATTATGGTTTAAATGATGCTTTTCTGGAACGAAATGGTCATGTGTACAACGTTAACACTGGCTCATCAGGCAGAAACAGGGACGAGTTTTAGCGACAAATATACTGGGATTTTAACTAAAGCGCCATACTATACTTGTTTGAAATTGCTGATGTCTTGATTAGTTCTTGCAATCAACAAACATCCTACCATCACGAAGAACAGAGAGACGAGAAACAAACAGAAAAACCAATCGTTACGCTATCGAATTGGATCTTACCTGAGCTTATTAGCCTCTGTTTTTTTTTATGAAGACAACTAATTTCTGATTTGACACAAATTTAAACCAATCAGCGAGGATCATCAGTATTAAAAAGAATGATAATTTCAGTTCATCAGCTGCTTTCAGCTGGTCAGAGTTGCGCTACATAATCAACCTAGCGAATTGTCATGAAAATCTTCTTTTGGAGACTGTCGATGAGGTAGGCGAACTTTTAGCTTAACCAAGATACACAATTCGATGACAATTTCAAAGTATCTTTTTTTATTCGTCTTTTCTCTTTCTGCCTTTTTCGTTCGTTTTTTTTTTTTTTGTTTTTTTGGCCAAGTTTTAAAAATATGTCAGTCTTTAGCTTTGCCATTATGTTGTGCATTGAACTTGCGATTCTGAAACATTTTCAGTGGCGGAAATGACGGCAAACACCACCAATAAATTAGTTTCAAACAGCACCTATGCGAGAACTGGATCAACCTCTTCTACATCAGAATGTATTGCATGGTTTATAGTGGTCATTTTTGGAATACTGGCCATTGTTATCTTTAACCTCATCACAATCGTTGTATTTGTGAAGCAGCGTCAGCTACAGCGTCGGAGTAAATACCTGCTCATCCATCTGGCGATTGTCGACCTCCTAGTCGGTGCAGTCTCTGGGCCTTCTTTCATTGCAGAGGGATTTTCGTTCTTTTGTTATCAGAGGGATAATACTATTGTTGCAAGATTTTTATGGGAACTACTTCCCGTCACCTCCCTGGTTAATTTAGCAGCTATTTCTTTAGAAAGATTACATGCAACATTTTTCCCATTCAAGCACCGCTTTATCAAGAAATGGGTGTATGGCGTTATCGTAGCTGTTATTTGGTTGATGGGTTGTTTCAGCGCTATGTTAAATGTAATTTTCAATTTTTTCTTAAAATCAGATTCCTTTATTTCCATCGGTGTGCTGCTACGAAGCGTATATCATCTGATCTGCCTTTTGATCATTAGTATTTCTTACTGCTTTATCCTTATCAAGGTTCGATGCAGTCCTAGTCCACAACACCATGGTGCAGCTAACACCGAAAGAAAACTGACCATCACCTTGATTTGGATTACTTTTGCGTCTTTACTCTCTTGGCTGCCGCATGTGGTTTTCTCCATCACAACTATTTTTTTTGAGGGAATCTCAAACATTTATTTCGTTGCGGCAACATTACTACTAATTGGGGCTAATTCCCTAATAAACCCCATTATATACGTCATAAGAATTCCAGAATTTAGGGCAGGCTTGGCTAAAATATTCTGTAGGAACCAAAACCACACACGCCGAGTCGATTTGCCTCTTAAAAATGTCCCTTAAAATCTCCCTTTCGAATTCCCTCTTCTCACCAATCACTGAAATTAAATTATCCCCAGCATCGATTTTTATTTTTTTACCCTTTAAAAGTTGAGTACAATTTACTTACTTTCGCAATTTGGGCAGTAAATGTGCCGTGACTAACCTCGTTATTCCTTCTAACATTTTTGCTATTTCCTCAGTGAAAATCTCAGTTCTTGTATCAAAAGAGCGAGAGACAGTACTGTCATATAAAATATGATTTTTTCCTTTAGTTAGCTGTAGAATTTGCTTATTATTCTTCATACCTCGCCCTTTCTTTTCTATTGGTTTTCGTAACTGTTGCTCCACTGGCTTAATATCACATTTATCCCTTTGGTAACTCTCGATTCAACTGTCGTCGGTTTTATTCCTGATGAA